TTTTTTTAGAGCCTAAAGTATAAAACATGGGCAATAGCTAATTTAGGAATACATTTGTCCTCCGTTATTCAGAAACATTTTGCTCTTTAGAAGTACCATCATGATTGACTTTCTCTTTAAAATCGCTCACTATGCTTGAAGACCACTCCATATATACATCATTACGGAATGCTGTTAACACAGTTACAGACAAGACAGTAACAGTCTAGTGGCTTTTGTTATGCAGCACAAAGTAAAAAATAAAGAACAAACTTAGCAGTGTTGCACAGGACCTCAACATTTCTTACACATACTTTTACCTTTACAGACTCTTCTTTAGAAGTCCTTAAATGTCTAAGCCTTACAAAATAAATACTTGTATAAATACAGTTTAAGGATTAAGTCATTTTATAGAGGCATGGTGTTCTGCTTGTTAAAATGTGACAGTTTAAGTGACACTATCAGAAAACCGCCACCAATATATCCCCAATTCTTGTATGTAAAATTCCTGGCTGCTATTCTAGAGTCTTTCACAGTTCAATGGATAATATATTTTGTCTGTGGTGAAGAATGTGTGATTAAATGCAGGTTTTTGAAATCCAAACCATTTTGTTTCCAAAGTAAACTTTGCCCCTTGCAGACTGTGGGCCAACTAGCTGTTTGCCTGGGAAACAGTGCCCAGGTTCATACTTCAGCGTTTCGGTAAGAATGTAATGGTGACAAAAAATAAGTTCAGTGACATTTGCTAAAACATGCAGCTGTATATATATATCTATGTCTCTCCACATCAGCATGTTATGAAATTAAAAGGCTGGCAGTAGTCACAAATGCTGTTATTTCAGGTAACAGATAAAAGGTCCCCTCGCTCCTTGTCCCAGGATTTTTTTTAGTCTTCGGTGCTACACTAACATAGTCAAAGAGCACCTTATTCCAAAGAAACTCGGAGTGCTTTATGAAGGTTGGTATCGTTATCATCTCCATCATCAGGGGAAACTGAGGCATGGGGGGAGATTGTCCCCCGTACTGCTCCACTTTTCCTCCTAAAACCTACTTTTTAAACTGGGGTCCTCAATGGTTATCATGTAGTTAAGACAACATAGTGTGTATGAAGCATTTCTGTAGATGAGGCATGATAAAAATTAGGCTCCTCGTGGCTCACTGGCATATGTCTGAAAAGACATAGTTGGGTGTGGAGGGTCCCAAGGGCCCAGCTTTGATGAACTCCTACGATACCTCTTGCCTCCATTTCTGGGAGGAAGGCTGTGACTTCTACCATAAGAAGAACCTACCTGGAGAGTTTCCTGGCATAAAGGAATCATTCCTCCTGTGTGTCTTGCAGCATTTGATTCCTTCACCCTACATTTACCTCCTTACAGAAATTAAGGAGGATTCTGAAAGAAGTAATTGGGCAGGCAGGTCCATCTAGGGTTGTGTGCTCACCTCTGGGAAAGTCAAGAAATGGGTTCAGGATTTCTGATGCACTGTGTGCCTTTACCTATGTGGGTTCTTAAGATGAGATACCACAAGTACCCTGGCATCTCATCTCAGCCTCCTTTAAAAAGTGCATCTCAAGCAGAATTAACAGACTTTGGCAAATTCATTAACTTCATAATATACTAACAGCAGATTTTGTTCCATATGCAAACAGGTCACCTCTTTCAAGGAAAATAACATTAGTGATGATATTCAACAGAAAAGATGGAGGTCATGTCTATAGCATGCAAAATAGAGAAGGAAAATGGGGTTAGTTAGGAAAACCCTTTGGGTGCATGGACTCTGCTGTTCAGATGCAAGTGATGAAAGGTAGCTTGTAATAGCACAGGTACTGTGTTTTACAGTACCACAGAGTATCTTCCAAAATATATGTCATAAATACTGACAGTGTTTGATAGGCACAATTACTATAATGCAGTCATCCCCAAGTAAACTTATTGCTAAAAGCTGCAGTATCACTTTTTGCAAGTAAGATGACAGTATGATTTATGGAGAACTCATCAGCCCAATGTTTCTAAAGCTGCAAATGAGCTTTGTCATGCTATTTCTCTTCCCTTGTAAAAAGGATGCTGCTGTTTTTCCCTAACATGTTTCAACTAGTGTGAACAACTCAAAGGAAAACTAGAAAGAGAATTCCACAGCAGAAGGGACAACACTAACAGATTTCAAGGACAAAATTGGATTGGATCATTTAAAGGGCAGGCTTAGACCTCCTTGCAAAAGACAGTTAGTGGCCTACCATAAAATGAGCACTTGTTCATGAAAAACCCACTCAGCATCCTACAGGCTTTGCACAGTTTCTTCTATGGAGGGACTTTTAGCTACACCGAGATCTGCGATGCCTAATGGAGATCCGCCTCAGTCCTCTGCTGTGCAGCCCAGCAGCTCTGACCGCAGGGTGATCCTGCCATACCATGACCACGGGAGGATACGGACGTGCCGGGCGTAGATCGGAGGGTCAATGACGTTCTTACGGTGCGTGTCATTGTCAAAATTTCCCTGGAACACCTGAAGGGCAAGTAACGAGAAGATTTAAGCCTATGTGGCTTAAGGAACAGTTGTGGTACACCTCTGATGTCCCTGGGCACCTCCCTGATCTCCATGCCGAATTTTCATCATCTGGGCACCTAACTGGTGCTGCAAAGAACACCTGCGCTTGCTAAGACCTGGGGATTTCATTGTATTTCAGGGACCTCGGAGCTGGATATGAGTGTTGTACGCTCAGCCCCGGTGCAGATTTAGCCTTCGATCCAAAGCTTAATCTGCTGTTCTACCAACACCCAGGGCCCTCCTCTGAAAGTTACATAAAAATAATTAAAATTTAAAAAATTAAAATGTCTTTTTACTTGGCATTTGTATCATGTCAAATTAAACCCAGGAGATCCTGTTATTGTTTCCAACAAAGTAACATTAATAATTAAAGTTAAGAAGAATTTTTATTGTATCACTTATGAATGCAGCTTGGATGCAACTATATGTACCCTTGTAAACTTAATGATTATCAAGGATACTATCTTCTTCTGTCAAACAAAATTCAGCATATGAATTAAAGGCATTGGTTTTGGATCAAATTAAAAAATCTTAGCACAGTACAGTGCACATTATGATGTTATTTCCACTAGTATGGGTTAACCAATATGTAAGTGAGTTCCCAAACTTCTGGGTTAAAACAATGCTGGATTTTTCCCCTGGCAGCCACTATTTAAATTCAAAGGCCACAGCACCACTTTTTGGCAAAGTTATCAGATTATTCTCTTGGGATATTTTCAGTTTATACAGGAAATGTTCATTCTCTTCAAATGTCAGCCAATTCACTTCTCATTTGTCAAAACTGTATTTGATGACTTTTTGACTTGAAATGAATGAGTTTTGTTTCCATCATGCGGAGAAGGAATATGGACCTCCTGAAGAAGGGCTTATATGACTGAATTAGTGCAGAATGACAAGTTTCCTAATTCTTAGGAAAAATGTCAAAGGTTGAATTCAGAAGAGGCTGATCTACTACTTTAGCCTTTAAGCTGGTTCTTTTTGACATGTTTACAAAGCACTACATGAAAATCTTCATTTTTTGGTCTCTATCCTGCATATTTTCTTTGAGTTTTGAAAGCTTCTCTCAAGTGCTATCAATTTGGCATCTCGAATAAAAGATGTATCCTCCACAAGTGGTGCTCTTTCACAAGCGATAAATTTCCCTTCTCATCTGGCATCTCACTAACACAGAGATGGGAGCATTAAAGCACCTAGGAGTTAAGATAGATGGATAAAATTGCAGAAAGACTGACCACAGAAACAACGGTGCTGTGAGTCTAAGGAAAAAGTGTATTTACCACAGGAAAAATTGTTTGTTGCCCAAGTACGGTGTTGATTACATAAATGAGCTAGAGCTTGGGCTAACAAGATTGTGCCTGAATTTGAGTTTGATTTGTGGCAAGTTAGCATACAATAAAAGGCAGTAAGATTATTATTGGATTTACAGAGTAGCACCTGCCAATGTACAATCTGCAGCTAGGAAAGCTTAAAAGTAAATTTTTTTCATTTGATTTCTTGTGCATGCATGCAATGTATCTGTTGGTATTTTTTACGAAGCCAGATGATAAGCAATGCAGAACTGCAGAGAATTCTTGCTGCAGAGCTACTGGAAAATTTTTTCACTCTCTATTTTGTTTTCCCTACCGAAGACATATTTCAGAGATAACATTTAAATGAAAGCATAGAACAAAAACCATTGTTGTTTAACAGAAGAACCCATCTACAGCCCCAATATTTGTATCCACATATAGCTATGCAAAATAAATAGAAGTATGCGATGCAAACCAAGTATCAAACACAGCTGAACAAGGTAGGATTATGTCATTTAATTAGAGCAGGAAAACAAGAATTAAATTTTATTTCTAACTCGTACATGATTTCATTAGCAGTTGAATTCAAACTCATCTGTTTCAGAGGTTAATTTATGCAAATCTGGAATTCACCTTCCCTTGAAATTCAAGATCCAGTTTCAAGAAATTAACTAAATGTGCTAGATCAGAAAAAGGATTTTAGGGAAATAAATTTATCAGAAAGCAAGGGAAGCTTTGTCAGCATCCACAAATGTGACCTGCATGAAATGTAATATTCTAAGAGCAAATTTACTGGATTTTTTTGCTCTGGACCCATGGCAAATTTCTTATGGGAAAAATATATTCTTTGTCACTCTTCATTTTACTTCAGCCTAAGTTCACTAATGGAGTCAAGAAATGTGGAAAGAGCAGGGAGGACAAAGGACAAAAACTGTACGTCTGATTTATCAGCAGAAAAAACCTATTTCTGTAGCCAAATGTAATTTTTCTTTAATTACCTGTTGCTTTATGCCCAAATAGTCAATACTAAATGAACCACCTATGCAATTAAAACCTTTGAAGATCCAGTAGCCTCATACCATACATGTTCACTCCTCACATTTTTTTCTCAGTTTGTTTCAGTATAGAACACCTCTGAAGACTGTAATGGTTCATTGTCATTCAAGAAGATGATGTTGGAGTTATGATACATAGCTTTATGTAATTTTTCAGTTGAAAAAAAATGCCCAATGACAATAAAAAACAAGCTGATTAGTGGTCAAGGAATAAAGAGCAGAATGTAAGTTATTAATGTGTCAGCGCATAAAGCCCACACATATCTTCATTTTGAGTTCTGAGGGGGTGAAGATCTGGTCCTGCCTTATCTCAAGCAGCAACTATACAGAGTGAAGTGGCAAGATGGCCACAAGCACAGAACATCCTTTTGCAAATTATTAAATGGACTAAGTCTCTTCATCCTGTCCCCTTACCACAGCCACGAGGGGACAAGGAATTATAGCAGGTTTGTCTTGAGCTACCTAAAGGTCATGGCTCACCATACAACACATAATTAAGCTGTGGCACAGTTTCCACAGCCTTTAACTACTGTTAAAGATCAGATAAACTGTTAGGGGCAAAATCAGCAGGGGCTATTAAAAATACAGATAGAAGAAAGCCAGAGGCTGGGAAGGTACACTAGGGAAGAATAACAGCCTATGTTTTGTATTATGTCTAGTCATCTGCTACAGGATGCTCCCTCCCTTGGATAGATGTTCAGCCTCACACAGCCCAGTGGCTCCCACATTACAAGATGCCTGTGTTGGTAAAAGTGGACTCAAGCTCCTGCATTTTGACAATCCTATTGTAGAATGTTAAAGATTTTACAGTAAATATATTTGTTTATGTCAGTCTTCATACTTAAAAGGTGTAACTTGCTAAAACATTTACTCAGCAGCTTCAGCAAGTTTACACATACACCCCCCACACACATATGTGTAGCTCCTCTGTAGCTTAGTCTCTTACAGCTGCTATTAATATAAAAAAGTAGAAAACATATGCTGTTGTACTTTTAAGTATGATAACTTATTTTATGATCAGTTCATGCAAAAGAGAACGAAAACCTGGAAAATATCTACTGATATTATATGCAGAAAAGATTTCTGAAATATAAACAAGTCTTGTTTATAATTGCATCCAACAAGCAATTTGGATATCGTGCCTTCAAACTTTCACTAAGATTTTTCAATAGAACTAAGTGTTTTATGGCATAAGTAGCAAATCCGAAAAACAACAAGGTAACTTGATTCATATTTTAAAAAGAAAACTACTGTATGTTTTATGATATAATAATTTAGAAGAAATACCTGAAGAAGAATAGCTTGGGAAAAGTGGTGTTTATGACAAATTATGTTTGCTTTGCTCCAAAAGTAGAGCTAGAAACCAGGTTTTAGGGCGCGTCCATTAACAGGTGGCTGAAGTGGGAAAGATTGTTTGTGGTGCTGTGTCAATGGATGTGTGAGAAGGATGAAAATTCTCTCCACAGAGAACCTTTCTGGATCTCATGTCTTGCAGAAACTTAAATTGCATGAAAAGTCTGCATCGGTAGTAGCATTATTGGTTCCTGCTATTTATAATGGCTGAGAGTTGAGACTTTAATATTAAAACCTCAGATGGTAAAGTTGCTATGATGTTGTCTGCTGTACCTTAACCGTTTTCTTATTCTGAGCAGAGTATTTTAAACATGTTATTTCATGGAGCAGTTAATCCTGCTCCTATTACAGGCAGATTATTTTAAAAGAATAGCTAGACCTAGCTTCTGTTTGGAGTTTGCTTCAATGCAGAACATCTCAGTGTTCGGACAATAAAGGGGGTACTGTTCATTTAAAATCTAAAAGAACCTGGATGAAAAGTAATTTTTGACAGCCATATTCCTTTATTTTGGAAACATTTTATTTCTTTATTACTAATCACTGAAGACTTACTTAAGCAAGAGAGGGAATTCACAGATTTGAACAGACTATTTACTTGCTTTGAAGTTTTTTGTTCTTGGTGGAGTAACTCTTTTCACCATGAAGAGTTACAAGTGAATGACACCAGGTAAAAGACAGTGAAAGATGTCTTGATTTCTCACCAGAAATAAAGCTGCTGTTTACAGGCATACTCCATCCTGTGGAAGATGCTTTCCGCTATAAAAGACTAGGCAGGGGTTTTTTTAATATACATATATACGTATGTAAACACATATGTATGTGTGTGTGTGCACATGTGTTTTTGGAGTGATTAAGAGGAGAAAAAAGACATTCTTTCTTTTCAGTTGTTATACATAAAAGCTCTGCAGGTGGGTGTAAATTTTCCACTCCTGATCTTAGCCATCCTCCTTTCTTCTTCCTCACCGAGCACTCTTCTCGGGACTGGCTAAAGAGTCAGGAGTTGGTTGGCATGCAATGGATAGCTATGCAAAAGTGTCCAGTGTCAGGAGAAGGACTGTTTTTTTCTTCTCTGTGACACATAAATAAGAATATGTATTACATGACCTTTATTATTTCTTCAAGTTCAGAACAGGTATCAGGCAGATAAAACTTTTAAACTTGCAAAACATACTATCACATTCTTGTTATTTTTTCCACTTGATCTATCTAATGATGCTACTAAAATGGGAATTTACACCACTGTACATAGTTTGTAAGTGCT